GACATAATTTTAACTTGAATTACTATACCTACCTATTTTGCTGTACACAAAAATAAATCACGCTAATAGCTTGTCTGCCGTCTCGTTTTCCATCTCGAATTACTAGACTCAAACTACTAATAAAAAATTTATTAATTTGCAAATTTAGAAAAAGGAAATGGAATAAGAGCGCTTCTTGTTAGATTGTACACAATTACTGATATAACTAAAAACAAAAATATTTGATGCACCACACAAATTACACCCCTCGCAATAAATAACCGCAAAAAACCGAAAAAATCAATTATTTCCAAAACGGCGCGGGGTTACATTTTTATTTTTGGACATTAGACTACTATTAGACCACTATTAAAAAATCATAAATGAAAACAAAAATATTTGATGCACCACACAAATTACCCCCCTCGCAATAAATACCCGCCAAAAACAGAAAAAATCAATTATTTCCAAAACGGCGCGGGGTTACATTTTGAAATTTTGACAATTATAGTGCTTGCACTTTAAGTTTATTGTACTTTTTAAAAAATGGGAAAAAAACCTGTACCAACAAAGTTACCCTTATTTTTTAACCCCCTTTCAACCCCTAATATTATTAATAAAAAATTTTTTATAAAAACTTTTAACTTCATGTGTGCAAGTCCATTTGAGGTGACTTCAAACTTTATTTTATTATTTTATATGAAATAAGGTCTATTGCTGGAATCTATTGCTAACTTGATGTAGGTCTTTTGGCAGTATTTTGTTAGTTTTTATTGATCAATGTCTTGGCGTTAATACCTATGTTTTAAAGAAAAAATAAAAAAATATGAACCTGCATAAATCCATATACGAGTCCTATGTGAAACAAATCGTTTATGATACCTGCACTTCAAGTTACACCTGCACGATGTAGATAACGGACTCGTTATGAATTGAAGAACATTTTTGCGAAGCTTTATAGTCTAGTCAATCTATCCCGTTTCCCCCATAGTATTGTTGGTTTAGGTTTTTTTTTTAATTGAAAATTCATAACACACTTTAGCTTTAAATTGCTCGAAAAAAACAAATACTTGACGTTCCCGAGGTAAGAAAATCCCAACTTGAATTCTACCACAGCCAAAACCCGAATGCCCGGAAAATCTCTCTTTATTAATCCCTACCTATCTTTCTAATTAAATGATGCCCCAAAATTGTGTTTTAATCGACCATTTTAAATCATTCACTCATTTGATTCGTTTAAAATCCACTATTTTATGGCCAGCTCTAGAGCCATAACTCAAAATACCACGCTGTTCAAATGGTGGTCCCATATAAAAGTCATGCACGTTTTACTTTCAGAAACAGCGTCTCGGTTTCCCCCCTTAAGACAACAAAATAGGAAGGACGTCGTCTGGCATACCTTCAAGGTATAGGATACCTGTGGCAAATTCCAGGCCTCTAGGACAATTTCCATAAAAGTAGTTGAAAAGCGAAGAAGTGAGTCTGGATGGACGCAACAGGCCGACGGGTAAAGCGCAAACAATAGCAAATTCTTAAAAAAATGGATTAAAAAGGCAAACATTGTAAAAATTCGCACACAAGATTTTTTTCTTATGTTGGGCTACGAAATTGTATGAAGGCCAATTGGGCAATTTCAAAAGACCTCAACATTTTCGGACTTTTTTCAAAAACCATAAAAGGCTGTATCCTACGGAAAAGTGAGACAGATTTTTCTTAAAGTAAACCAAATTCATTTTAGGGAGTTTAAAAACCGTGTAAATTTGCTGTTGCTGATATCTTTTCCTTCGAAAATGATTACGGAGGTGCTAACCCTTTTTTGGAACAAAATGTAAATGTTCCGCAACCTGACACAGGTTCCAACACACCGGCTTTTCGAAAAGAAACGTTCTCTTTTTTATTGCAATCATGCTCGTATATAGCGCCGCTTATATAAAGATAAGAACGCTACTTGTAGAACGACAGCGGAGCTGTGCTATAGACATAGGTGTACTTTTAAACGACAGAAATGCGTCTGAAAGACAGACGCCTAATTTCATGCAACCGAAATAACATCGTGCGCATGTTATGTTTGACGATATCAAGTTTTTCTTCAGTTGAACACATCGACAGCATCTTCATTTGTTTTAAGAAGTTATCGTAGTTGCATAAAATTAGGCGCCCTTCAACAGAGCTTTTGTCATTTAAAAGTAGACGTGGGAAATCCCTATGTCTACTTCTAAATGAATACCATATAGCTAAATGAATACCATATAGCGAGCGGAACTCGAATTTTTTAAAATTTAACGTCAGGACTGGAAGAAACTTCGTAATTTCCCTCCGACTAAGATTTTAAATGAACTTATGACTGGAAAAAAGTTGACGTGTCCGGGTTGGATGTCGTGGAAGTAGGTCTCTGAGATCTATTGTTTCAGTCCGATGGTTCTAAAGTACTTCCTCCCCTTTGCTTTAGTAGAAAACGCGATTCTCCTGAAGAAAAAAAAAACTACTTTATTGATCTCAATTCTAAAACCGAGGGAAACCACTGTTCTCGTCATAAACAGGGAGGGGGGAAGTCGTTATTATTGTTCTCGATTTGCAGAACCGCACTCTACGGGAGAGGAACGTTGTGTTTTGAATAGGTCCACAGGGTAGTGGAGGGGAGGGGGGGGGGCAAAGATTATACGGCTGCTTTAAAGCAAAATTTTAGCCAATCTCCGTATTTGTGGGCAAAATGCTAAAATTAAAATTTGAAAATATTCGCTCGCTTAAAAGATACGGGGGAAAATAAAAAAATTGTAACTTTCAAAATTACTGTATGCCTTCTTTGGTTAAATACAGAAAAATGTCTCTTTATAATGATTGTTTACTAATCTGCCGTTTTCCAAATAAATATAGTGTTAGGTAAAAAAGTTACCGGACTTTCGACTCAATTTTTTTAAATACACCTTGTATATTTAACATGCCAGGGATGATATTAAAAAAAAGGTTCAACTGATTTAAAAAAATTAAACACACACTCAATAGGTTAGTTAAAATAAATTAAAAAAAACAGGTTCAAATGATGCACCAGATTCTAAAAAAATCGAACAGATTTTTGATTTTTTCAAATATTTTTTAAATCTTTCTGAATCAATATTGAATTTTTTTAGTGTTATATTTTTGAAAAGTATACAAATTTAAAATTGATTAAAAAAAAATTAAAAAAATCAAAACTATTTTTGAATTCAATAACCTTTTTGAATTTTTTCCATCATTTGAACCTTTTTTCTTTTTTATTCTTTTGAAGCTTTGTTTCATTTTTTTGAATCAGTTGATTTTTTTTTAATATCGCCACTGGCATGTTAAATATTATTTTGTAAAAAGAGAATGTAATATACGAAAGCGTAGAAAATAAATTATTATGTACAAAAGAGCGCCTCCCAAGCAACATATCAATTAGTGTAAATGTTAATATAACCGGCTTTATGGTTCAGTGGTAGAGCGTTGGACTATAAATCCGATGGTCGGGTGTTCGAACCTGGGTTGAGGTGAGGGATAATAAATAAATAAATAATATACTTCCCTCCGCCATATTTTCATAACATTCGTTCGACACTACACTAGACTAATAATGATCACAGCATCGCATTTACTGCATAATTCCGGTTTTTACGGAATTCCGCATTACTTAACGGAATTCCGTATTATTTTACGGAATTCCGTATATTTTTACGGAATTTCCTATTTTTTACGGAATTCCGTAGTTTTGCGGAATTCTGTATTATTCTACACAATTCCGTGTGTTTTTTACGGAGTTACGTATATTTTTACGGAATTCCGTTTTATTTTACAGAATTCCGTATATTTTTACGGAATTTCGTAATTCTTCACGGAAAATAAAAAAAAATTGGATGTGGCCCTTCTACGCTTTCGTAGTAATCTTATCTTTTTATATTAAACCATACAGGGTGTTCTATTAAAAAAATTAAGGTATATTTTATTCTAAAAAAAGAGCACATTCAATTCAGGGATAATATTCAAAAGCTTAAAATGATTTAAAAAAATTCAAAAAGATTTTTGAATTTTTTTAATTTTTTACTAGTGAATATGCTATCCTTTTAGGGATTTCTATTTAAAAGATGAGGTTAGGTTCGAAAACGTTTTTACCTGACACGGTATACTTTGTGTTAAAACGGTGAATATTTTCAAATTTTGATTTTACCATTTTAAGTTTGACCCAAAATGAGCACATGTCGCCTAACATATAACATATACAACCATAGAATTTTAGGGATTGTCAAAGATTACCCCTGAAACCACAAAAAACATGTGGCAATCCCCGTTTTAACATCTTGTGTATACGAGTACAATTTGCTTATTTGCTAACATCGAGGGTAGATAGAAGATTGCACTTTATGCCCTGAAGTCTGAATTATGAAACGTCGTGTTTCTCTGCAGTAGATCGATTATACCTACATGGCTCGCCTGTTACTTTTACCTAACGCCAAATCTGTGTCTAAACATAATTCTGTTTAGTTTTTTTTGCACCGCTCAAACCGCAAGTTTTTGTGTTTATCGATCACCCGTTCTATAATTACCTACACAATTATCGGGACTTGATTTGGTATGATAATAATCTGCATTCTACAAGGATGTGCAATTTGGAGCACGCCTAAAATATTCGGAATGTCTATAGAGCTACCTAAAATTGCCATCGGTCCATTAAGGGGCAATCTCGAATCGTCACATAAAAATATCCAATCTACCTTAATTAAACCTCATCATACGACGGCGCGATTAAAGTAATGCTCCCAAAAGCGACAAGGTCTATTTAAAGATTCGCAATGTCTCTTCGCCACGGACACGTTTCCATTCAGACTCACTTAATATAATTACTTTATTATCACGACTTAAAGTGATATTGAAAGGCTTGGCAAATGCGACGGGCACTTCTGTTGCACTGCGACAATATATCAGTAGTTAAAACCGGTTAAGCGCGCGCCTACGCAGGGTACATAAAACTCAATATTAACGTCTCTCATAACAACATTAGAATAAATTAGTAACAAATTGATGACTTAACGACTGTTCGTATGGAATTTTGTGGATTATACTTTGAAATTATGGTGTTATTAATAGTCGATTCAGCCGTCCACCCTACACAAAGACAACCACGCATAAATTTTCTACAATCTACTTTCATTGAATAAGCACAACGTTTTTGGACTTCGATGTCATGAATGGAAACGCGTGTTCTCCAACCTACGACATCGCGAATTCCTCTAATTCGAATATATTACAATGTTAAATTTCGGAACAAATTGGAAAGTTTGGGTAAGTCATTTCTTCAGTGATCTTTACGGTTCAATTTAAATTGTATCATATTCAATGGGAAATAAGGTTGTTTTAGTAAAAGAGCAAAAAAACAGGATTTATTTGGGGGTTGAGGAAGGAAACTTCAAGATTAAATTTTAGTTGCGCTTAATTCGCGCATAATTATTAGTAGAAAGTCATTTATGTCATTTCATGAGCCCCCCATTTATGAGATTTCTATTCGCCAATAGATTCGAAATGATAATTTCGTAATGGCGCATATTGCAGTCTGCAGAGTATAAACGCAGTTACGCAAGAAAATTTATGCCCGGTTTCTGATGATTAAAACATTATAATGCGTCCCAATTTTCATTTTTAAATAATTATTTTAATTTAAAAAGAACATATATTTTCAGAATGTAACATGCCGGGGTTGACATTCAGAAAAGGTTCAACCGACTCAAAAAATTAAAGAGAGATTCAAAAAGTTAAAAAAAATCGAAAAGATTTTTGAATTCAAAAGGGTTGTTTTAGTATTATTCTCGATTCAAAATTTAAACGCCAGGGATGAGATTCAAAAGATTCAACTGATTCAAAAAAATTAAACAAAAAGATTTAAAAAAAATAAAAAAAGGCGTTCAAAAAATGCAAAAAATTCATGCTTTCGCTTAAGTGAGTTTTGAAAAACTCATCCCAATATAAGGTAATAAAATATTTACGTTCTATGCACACTGCGCAGAATCATCTTTGTGGTTAATGAAATATTGATAGTAGATCCTGTAACTTGACGATATTTATTTATGTAATTATATAAAAGTTTGGTAGGTGACATTATGATACTAATAATGGAAAAAGTATGGCTACTCCGCTGTTACACTTTTTGTAAAGTCATTGGTGCGCGAATTTGTTGGCACTGAATTTAAATTTATAATTAACCGCACATTTTGAGTTTGGTTGATCGTTTTTTTAGTGTCCTTTTTTTATTTTTGACAGCCTTTACGAGTCCCCAAAAGTTTTTTGGCGCCCAACGTGGGGCACATAGAATTAAGGTTATATAATAATTTACAAACATCGATTTTAAAAGATCGTGCAAACTATAACTTTCCTCCGCGACTTATTAGAGATCCGAGGGTGAGTGGAGGGGGGAGGGTGTTAGAAATTGGATGTATCTTTTATGGTATTAAAATTAAGGTCTCAACAAAAGAAAGTCTGATACCGCCCTTGCCACTTATTATTCATCGAAATCGGGAGGTTAGGAAAGGGGGGGGGGGGGTTGCTTCATGGTACTCCTATCAAAGAAATTAATTTATACCAACCGCATTGCTCCTTCTCGATGACCGACGACTTATCGTAATCGGTTATATTTCTCAATAGTGGGGTGTCGGACGAGGGTTGTTATGTTCACTTTGAGCAAACGTAATAAAATTGTCTTTAGATAAGCACATGGTAAGCTCAGACAAAGTAGAGGTGGGTCGGTGTGAATAACGGGGTTCTCGTAAATTGTCTACAGTAAATTTCAAAAGGGAAAAGAGAATACTTACCGAAAAGGGAACAAGGCAGACTAAGAGATTCTTGTTCTGGTCTTCGTAAGGTCGAGGTTAATACGCAATTGTTGGTACATACCGTAAACGGCATTAGAACTTGTGAATATATCCGCAAAAGCGCGTCAGTGAAGTTCGCAAGAGAAAAACCAAAACATCATACAACCATTAGAACCCTTTTAAAAAGACATGACGCAAAATCGAACAACAAATATGGCGCGTATTCTTCTGTACAAGAAATGATTGAATCTGTACAAGGAATAGTTGTAGTAGTACGCACGCAGCAAATTTTAACCATGGAAACTACATCTGCACGACCTCTAGCGGGAAAATGAAGAACTGTTGTAAATGAAACCTATAATACTCAACTAACTAGATACTAAACTAAACGAATTTACACAGGAAATATATAGATGTCGCAAGAATATCACTTAAATGGGATTTAAATTAAGAAAAGAAGGTAATGACGAAATGTATCCATTGGTAATGTCAACACTTAAGTGCTAATATCTCGATAACAGTGTGCCGGAGGAGAGTGCTCACAAATGTAAAATCAATAGTTGGAACGTCTTGACGAGACATATCTACTGCCGATGTGAAAACTTATACGTATCTCGAAAATAGAGTGTCGAAGGAAGGGAAAAAATCTAACATTGCGGAGAATAATTTCTCTTGTTTTTTCTTACATTTTAAATGTGCGCCAGATGGCGTTTAAATGTTTGTAACGTAAATTTAATTACGTGATATATACAATTAAATTATTAATGAATATAACAGTATTTATCAGGTACTCATAACACGTAAATTTTAACACACGATCGCGAATTCATTAATTATCAATTCAGGATCGACATTGACTTGATGGTGCCTCGATGGCGATTTGTGGCGCCCCGATGTCTCCTTGGGTTTCTATATTCGCTACATGTTTATGTGTAAAGAGCCCTCTCATCATTAATAATCTACCAACATGCTAAACATTGATAAATATTTCAAGCCGTATAACCCAATTATTTACTAATGGCCGTTTGCACCAAAAAATTTAAGCGGAGCTTAGCTTAAGCGTAGCTTAAAATCCATGGCAACCATTGTCTCAATAATCGTTGCCATGGATGTTAAGCTACGCTTAAGATAAGCTCCACTAAAATTTGTCTGTGCAAAGGGCCATAAGATACACAAGAGTTGTGTACAAGTTGTATTTGTTTTAAATTTTTTAGCGCATTTTTTAAGAATTAAAAAAAATGTGCTATTGTTTGCGTTTTGTCCGTCCGTCCGGACTCACTTCTACCGGCTATCTAAAAGGCCCCCCCCACGAATGTTTTTGAAAGTGCATAAATGTTACATACGACAAACAATTGGTCTCAGATTTTGCATCCGCATGCCTTTAGTGGTGCCAAGTTAAGAAAATGGGGGGGGGGGCATGTTCTACCCTTCATGTATTCTAATGAAAGGTCTCATCGAAATAAATTGGTTGTACAAACTAGAACTTTCCCGTGCGACTCTTTTTCGAGATCAGTGAGCGACGGGGGGAGGGAGGGGGGGGGGTGAAAAATTAATGTTACCTCTCGTATTCTAATTAAAGGTCTCAACGAAAGGAACCCTACCAACTACTGACCTTCTTTCTGTTCTCTTATCAAACGGGGTGGGGGGGGGGGGAACTAGTTTTATCCTTCATGGTACTCTAATGAAAGGTCTCAACGAAAGGAATTAATTTCTACCAACCATAGCCCTCCTCCTCAATCTCTTATCGTGATCGGGTATATTCCCTTATGGATTGTCGGAAGAGGGTACTCACAAAGGGCGATGGAGACGTCTGCAAGAAATATATCCATTGGTGATGTCAAAACAAAAGCTATTTCGGTTTAAAAATGCGCTTTATCTGCACAAGAGTTGTGCACAATTTATACTTGTTTTAGAATGTTGCGAATAGTTTCATGTTCATAAATTTAAAAAGAATATTAAAAGTCTACGATGTGCCATCGCATTTTTAATGTGGCAAACCAGTAATCAACTAAGCAATGCAAGAATGACTCAATCATTTGGTCAACAACAATGTATAAAATTCATTACCAGAAATGTGTTAATAAAATTAATGTTACCATCTTTTTTTAATTGTGCAGAAAGTTTTAAAAACCAAAAAGTTCTTGAAATCTTCAAAAATGTTTATACCAAAATATTCGTAGTTTTTTGTACCATCACGTCAAATTTAGTTTAGCGACTGCTTGGAGCAGTGGCTGCGCAACAAGATATTTCGGAATTCTCCCGGCCCCAACAAACATTTCGTTTGCGACCGACTGGCCCGCATTGGAAGCTGTTTAAAGTATTTTTTGAATTCTTCAAAAATATTTTTTAATGATTTTCAATTTTTTCGAAATCTGATTTTTGTAAAATTGTCGATCTGTTATCAAACTTTTTTAATGCTTATAATTTTTCGCATCAATTATTATAAATTCTCATTATTTTGAAATCATCAAAAATGAAACTTCTTTTAATATCTTTATTGCATTAAATTTCCGGAATGTATTTTCTTAATTTTGGTCTCTAGGAATTGATATTATCAAAACCTACAAATTTTGAGGTTACGTTTTGTCTTTTGTGACAGTCGGAGGATAATTCAACAGACATAAAACCGTCTTTTTATCAAATTATTGTTTTTGATTTACAGTTTTTATACAGATTCTATTAAAAGTTTTAAAAACAAAGGAGTAGGTACCTATTTTAGAGAAGGTTGGTTCAAGCGTCGGTAATATATTTTTGCTCATTTTTGGATCTTCAACGGAGACGGTAGAGGCACTGTACGTGTTCCATATTGGTCCCTCTATAACTTAAGATCCAAAATTAATTAAAAAGGGTGCATAATTTCACATTCAATTACAGTGTTGAATTGAAGCTGCTTGAATTCGCAAAGAACAGACATTCTACATTCGCTGGGTCTGCATGGAATTATTAATCACGTCTACGGCGAGATAGGGAGATAATCAATTCGAATCGAGAAACTTTTTTATTGATTGAGCGGTCGAGATGACAGTTTGAGTAATGGATATTGACGTCGAGCAAGTGTCTAGCGCTTAACTTCCGGATCAACTTCTTTCAAACTAACAAGCTGCGTACATTCCGAGAGAAAATTGTTACAAAATAAAACGAGAGGCCGTCGAAATACAATGAAGGGTTAGTAAACAAACACTGCGGGACGGGGTTGAGTAGGATTAGGACAAAAGTTCTTGCGTGTAAGTCGAGACCTGACAAAATATTTTCTTTCCATTCAGTGTCGCTTTTGTTATTTGTACGTACGAAATAATCCTGCACTTGCTGGGCTGGGTCATTGTGTCTTGAATGAAAAACATCTACCCTAATGACGTATCAAAGTCGCAAAGAGACACAAAACTGTTTTTTTTTTACTATTTACACATCCTTGTCTTTCAGTCGCTCTAGTCTAGAGTCTAGAACTAGCAAGTAGCAATAATGAATTTTAATTTTAAGTTG